ATTTAAAAATGTGATCATCTGTCAGCTAAAACATAGTTAACACGTAAGTGATGACAAAATATACAAGGCAACAGGTAGCGTGAAACAAAGATGTGCATAGCAGAGATTTAGAGCGATAATTTAGCGTTTTACAGAGTGGCACTTTGAGAGATTGCCCTGCAAATACCTTGCAGCAGCTTCCTGTCTTCTCTGAGGTTTAAAGCCTCAGCCATCGCTTCACTGGCAGAAGAATAAAACTCTGAGTTATGTGTTTGGATTCTAAGCATTTCTGTTCTTAGAAATGATCAAACTAAAGGCACACAGGGAGGGGGAAAAGACTGCTGCAAATTACCTGTTTTATATCACTAATGGTCCTGAATGATGTTCTGGTGAAAACACTCATGACCACACACACACATGCGCGGATTCTCTCCCTTTTATTTTATTTTGCCTCACTTGTCATCGCCATGCTAACCCTGCGTGTTTTACTTAGCGGGAGACAGAGGAGCTCATTGTCATTCCAGAAAGGTTGGCTGATCTCAGCCAAATCTGTCGGTGCCTCGTTCCTCATTTCGCATCATTCTGATATTGTGTGGCTCCAATGAATCTGATGAATCTCTCATCCCTGGGATCTACCAGAAATGTGGGAAATCTGCAAGTGAAGTCCTCTCTCTTGGGAAACTCCTTACCAGAGCTGCAGGGAAGTCTGAGGGGACGGCTCAGCGCACATGGAGATGGAGACAGAAAGAGGAAGGCTTGACTCTCCTCAAAACTCATGAAGCTGTGCTAATATTGAGAGGGAAAAGCTCGGTCAAGCTGGGATGGGTTTTCTGCTCAGTTATTGCACACCGCTCAAGGAGATGTGAGTGGAGAGTGGCTGATGATCTCCTTGAAGGAAGCTCACGTCTCTCCTTGAACAACTCATCAATAAGTGATGCCCTGTCTCTTCCAGTCGATCACAGGCAGAAGTGCAGCCTTGATTTGTTTCAGAAAACACTACTCAACACAAACCGTCTCTATTCTCCGTAAGCTTTTTAACTTTTTAAAGATAGATGTATTTCATAGTAATTTGTCATGCTCCCAAACAGCCTGTGTTAGTCTATTATGGCTTTCAAGAATGCAGACCAGTGTCACATTCATTGGCCTTCCAGATTTTTCTCTTTCCTTATGCCTTGTTCACACCGAGTGCAACGTATGCAGTCTGGTTTACGTACAGCATCCAGACAGGCTGCCAGTTTGGATGCTAAACATCTCCACAGATCTGCTCCCACAAGAGCACAAAATGATTAGAAATTTGACACCTTCAAAAATATAGCTGAAAAAATAACGTGAACTATCATACACTGTGGACTGGTCTACTTGTCGTTTTTACCAGATGCACCTCCCTGTTTTGCGTCTCACTTCCTGTCTGGCTCATTTTGTTTCTTTAACTTCATAACGAACCGCATGCGGCATCCAGAAAAAATGGACACCACGTGGAAACTTTCTAGAGCTCCGGATCAGGATCTGCACAGCACCACAGCAGGTGTGAATGCTCTGATTGGACTCAATGATTTTTGGTCCATACGGAAACTGGGCCCCATCTGTTGTGCATTCGGTGTGAAACGGGCTTCAGTATGGTCTGTTAGTCAAAATAAAGTTGATATTGTTGTGTCCGTTTACCATTGGCACACTTAAACTAGCTCAAACACCCAAAGAAAAACGAGCTGATCCAGTCAAGATAAGGAACTGGACTCTTGTTGAGGCCCATTTCATAGGCTACATTCACACTGCAGGCCAAAGTGCATCAAATCAGGGTTTTTTTTTCTCCCATATGCGACCTATATATACCGTTTTTTCTGGACTATAAGCCGCTACTTTTTCCCACGCTTTGAACCATGCAGCTCATAATGAGGTGCGCTTTAGTCAGCCAGAAAGGATGGATGCTAGAAAGTCTAATGAAGGAATGGTTAAAGGAGTGTTACGGAAAGCGCCCAGGAGGATTTTTTTCAAACTAACAGCGCTGCTTATTTACCCAGCTTCACCCGGGGATGATGACAGCAACACGGAGAGCGACACTGACATCGCCACAGAAAAGGTATGTGACGAAACTCTTCTGAGGCTGTTCAACTCCGACACTGAAGAAGATGATGACTTCAGTGGTTTCAGTGTGCAGGAGGATGATGAATAAACTAATCAATAGATTTTCTGTTTTGTTTGATACTGATCAGTTCAGTTACGTTCAGTTAAACTACGTTTTCAATTCAGTAGATATTTGTGGCTTTTAGCCCGGTGCGGCTTACATTGAAGTGCGCTCTATAGTCCGGAACTTACGGTATTTTTGTGCTACTCAAGGGGGCAGGGTTGGGTTTTTCCATGAGAGCAGAGTGTAGCATAAAGGTTGGTTCATGCTTGACGCGTCCGCGAGGTTCGCACGGCTCCATGCGGAAAAGTTGCATCATTTTAACAACCATGCCCCTCCACCGCGCCTCCGCACGGCCCAAACTTTCCGCACTGCGCACCTAGGAAATTTTCTAACCACGCGGACGGTCGAGGCAGAAAAACATGGCGGACTGGCAAGAACTAGTATGGCTGATTCAGCTCTCAGAGATCACCGTGATCAACATGTTGTTAATAATTATTGGAGAGAAATAGCTCGCACTGTCGGAAAAGACGAGGACGCTGTTAAAAAATGCTGGAGTGCCATGTTGTAAACAACAGTAATTTTAACTTCTACTATGGTGTAGTGTTGGATGCATGCCGTAGAGCTCCATGCTGCCCTGTTCAGCTTGGGAGAATATTGGCTCACCGCAGAGACGAGCCGCATGAACCATAAACGCTGTAAGTTGTGAAGCGTGTTCCATCCGCGAGCCGCATCGCCAAGTGGAAAGTGAATGCGTCAAGCATAAACCAAGCTTAAGAAAGGGAGAGCATGCCTAAAGGTCATCAGTGTGCTAAAGGTCAACTGTGTGCTTTCCAAACGGGGAATTTCTCCATGTGCGTCTTCTTGATGTCTTCTATGCAAGCGGGTCGCTTTGGGGTCGTGAAACTTTCACACTGGAGAGTGTTTGCTGACGCATTTTAGTTATCATGTGAACAACCACACAAAAAAATCTGATTTAGTCAAAAATTGCAATTGAGCATTAAAACCTGCAGTGTGTCCTAAAGTGGTAGCAACCGGCTGTTGCTCCTTCTCTGATGTCATTGAGCTGCAAACCTCTCACACTAGTGGTGTTCTGTTGCTAAATACATAAGTGCGTAATAAGTGGAGGACCCAGGGGAGTGCTGCGGTTCAGCCAGAACGATAAATGGGTGGTCCAGGGATGTAAGAAAATATCAATATGGCAATATATTGTGATTTTTTTTCCTGCGATATTACATCGATGTTCATAAGCTGTGTGTTGAATTTTTGGAAGAATTCACGTGCAAACGTTTGCGCATTTTCTTTTCTTTTGGTGCAATTCAAACGCCAACCGCTAGGTAGCAGCAGTGTGCAATGGGTTTTGTTTCCACCACTGAAATGAAATGTAAATCCCTCTATTATGGTTAGGTATATACAGATACCTCATGTTACGTATCAGTTTGGACAGTTCAAAAATTTACAGTTTTTTAAATGTTCCTACAATTAATTCAGTCAAAAGAAATCGCAATATATCGTGATATATCGTACCGTCTCCCCTGTATCGTGATATGTATCGTATCGCCAGAATTTCACCAATACACATCTCTAGTCTAATAGTCACTTTCAACTTTACAAAAAATGTATAGCTATGCTATTTTATAATGATAAGAGGCATGAAAAAACGCTTTAAGCCAATTTGTTTTCCAAATTTGCCATTGTAGCCTTAAGTCTGCTTTATTAGTCTATTTTCGGTCAAATCATAAGGACTCCAACATGCTTCTCCTGGGATCCAAAAGAACCGGTTAAGGGGGGTTTAGCTGGATCACTTTTGGTGACGGACCGAAATAAGGTGTTTAAATGTTATAACTGACACAGCTTCAGGTCTCCCGGTGCCGTTTTCTCCTCCATCCGGTGACTCTAGTACATTCCAGCAGTTTGAAAACAAATGAAAACAGTGATATTCCTTATTTTTTTGGCCGCACTGAAACCTAATCGCATTTCACAGTGGCGTGGCGCTCTGCCAAAATAATCACTTGATGGGAGTTGAAAGTGATTACCAATGTTCCCTCTTATCTGCAGTGAGTTCAAAGAGAGTCTCGTCCAGCTACAACAACTGTTCACGTCTGTGAGGCTGGGCCAAGTGACGAATAGAGGGGGGAAACAGCCTTCGGAGGCTTTCTACGGTCTGTGTGGCTGGAGTACTTACAAAAGAGACACGTAATGTCAGTCGATTCGCTTGGATAAGTAATTAGAGCAGTAGTCCACCGCCTTACACACGCCCTACATATTAAACAAACCAATTTGAAGACAATGTGAGTTGGTCTCCCCATGAGTTTTGTGATAAATCAGGACAAATCTGGTTTTATTCCAAATTAATTGCGTACATTTATTAGTCATGTTGCAACATTTTAAAATGTCTTGTTTTTATTTGCACACAATTGCTCTATGAATAATTGTTTGTGCAGAACAAGGGCTGACGTGTAATGGGCTGTAGTCTGATGATTTAATCCAAACAATTTTAAAAAAAACAAGTTCTTTGTATTTTTTGTAACTGAAAAGTTTAAGCAATGCTTATTTTTGTTTTTCAAAACCCTATGCAAGAAAAACAAACAAAAAATATGAACCAAATTCCCATACAGTAAATTTTGATGTTGAACATCGTTCAGCTCCAGATTTTCACACCAGCACATCGCCATCTTGCTCAAGGACACATCAGTATGCTGAATGCTTGATTTCAAAAGCTATTTCAGCTTCCTTTCAGATTAATGCAGTGACTCACTTCGTGAAGTGCCTTGAGATGACTCTTGTCGTGATCTGGCGCAATATAAATAAACCAAATTGAATCCTTTAACCACTTGTCCTATCACCACCCAGCTGTGTGTCTCTTGACAACTCCACCAAAACGAGGGTGTTTCCTCACCTGATTGTCAGACATGACATAGAGAGAGTTCCTGTCCAGGGAAAAGGCCATGTCCCGGAGGACGTTGCTGCTGTCCTTCATCACAGTCAGTGTCTCATATAGCACTCCTCCATCCAGAGCTCCATCCACCCTGATCTGCAGAGACGACAGAGATGAAGAGACACTTTATATCACATAGGAAGTGCTGACTCTGCAGTTCAATTGGTCGTCTACCGTTTCTCTTTCATTTTTTATTGGCAAAGAATTAGTTAAATGCTAACTGTAAAAAAAAAAAAACCTCTATTTCTTCCACTTTTTATCACCAAATGTTTTTTTTTATTTGACTTTCAGCACACAAAACCAGGCAAGCACAAATTTTGATGCCAGGAACACGCTTATGTTCGAATAGGCGGAAGAGTAATTTCAGGTTTTGTGTGAAAATACGTCCAGGACTACAAATCACCAAATTGACGTCATACTAGACACGGAGAAAAGTTCTATGAACTTCAAATCCTTCCCTCAGGAGGAAGACCCACCACACATCTGATCATGTGGTAAGTAGCAGCTATGCTAGGAGAGAAGAGATTCTGTGGTGATGTCATATACGTGACGTACCGACGTCTGACTTGTAGGCATGCTAAGTACAAACGTTTACAAGCTGATGAATCTCAAACTGGCGTGGTCGAAACACACATCATTAGGTTTCATTTAAATTGAAGTACAACGTCGGTGTGATCCAGGGCGTAAGGCTAAGCGGATTAGAAAACAGCTCTTTAAGTCCCGTTGACTTGCATTCATTTCTTTGTTCTTCCGGGGACCCGTGAGCCGACAGGAAAGGGAGACTTAGGCTCCCTCTTCTGCTTTGAGAAAGATTTGGTCTTCTGTTATTGTCTGTTTGCACATTCATGCGTTATGGAGCTGTGCAGTAGTTCTGCTGGGGTCTTGATGAGCGCCAGATGTATCGGGGATATTGATGAGTCAAAGCAAGTTATTTTTTCAACAGTCAAACTGCTCTACTCAACTTTGACCCTCACGCAGCCCTGAGGTTGAAGCTGGGACGCTTGGGTTTAAAAACATCTATGCTGAGCCCTTTGCTGTAAATCTCTCACAGAAATCTTTTGGGGCTCATTAAAAGCAAAAATAACAAATGCCCACTGGTGATGTGTTTTCAATTTTTTGTTTCCACCTTAACAAATAATGTGAACTATTTCAACAGAGCGCAAAAAACATGTTTTCCTTTGCACAAAAGTGTCTCACTGGTGTAGGAGGCAAACGCAATAATTAGTGCTACTCACTACAAAATGAAAGTGTTTAAACATTTTATCAATTTGGCACAATGACAGACTTCTTTGAATGTCTCTGACTTGAGTGTGTGTTTGTTCTACTTGTGCAGGGATGTAAACTGTAGAATAAATGAATAACACCACACTGAATTTAAGTCAGAAAATGCAAAACAAGGGAGAAAAGTATGACTAAAACAAACAGTAGCTTGGGAAAAAGGCAATCCTCATCAACAAAGTATTTTTTAATTGAATTGAAGCTATGCTGAAGCAAGCAGAAGCTCGATTGAAATTCCGCTAAAAGTGGATCGTTACTCATGTGATGCAATTATAGTAAAGCTGAATTAATTTTCCAATCATAAAAATTAAAAAAATGCAGGATTATGAAAACCTAGAGGGGAGAATTGTGTGAGTGTTTCTGAGATTGTCTGCGTGACTATGCCACACTCCTCTGTGCATCAGCGCCCAAATCAAATCTGACAGAAGATCTTGAACGTGTGCCAGGTCTGGCTCGTGCATGGTGGCGGGCAGAGCCTCGGCGTTCCCTCAGAGGGGACAGTCAATCAATAAAAACTGATTACATTTTTGGATCCCCTAGGCGCCAAAACTTCATCAATCAGGGCTCCACCTTCCAGGCAGCTGTGCTTCTCCAACAGTAACAGTCAGGAATGACAAACGGAGCAGAACAGGGTTGGTTCATGTGGGAAGGAGGGAACTTTAAGGGATGAGGCAACAGTGTGGCTCATTTCCCACAGGTCGTCTGTGAAATTTTAAATGCACAGTGTTCTCTTTAAATAGATTTATCTCTGGATTAAAGAACACTGAATGCTACTCTTTCTCATCTCCCCCTAACCCTTGTAGCGTCTAGCAATGGTCAGTTTAGGTACAGCCTGACCTTTCACCATCTTTTCAACATCTGGTCAGAAAGAAGACACAACATTGCATGTGTTCCCTTTAAATGAGCAGGCCTTCATACCAGATGGGATTCACAGACTCCGCAAGTCTGAAAGATAAACAATCACTTTCTTTCCCAAGGTCCCATCTGTCTGCCTCCACAGAAGAAAGAACTCCAGCTAGAATCAGTTGTTACATTCAAGAATGATTTCCTAAATCAATATGAACTTCTTCTATGACTAATAATCTAGATTATCATTAAATAAACTTTTGTTTATTACTACTTATAGTAATTATAGTAAAATGAAATGCTTCATTAATCTGTGCACAGTGAATGGATGTTATATTATGTGTGTCTACTAGAACCTGCCATGTGTTCAACATGTTTTGACGACAAGGTACTCACACCTGCATCCATGCAATAACAAGTACGGTTAAGTTAGACTCCAACACATAACTTGTTTCTTTTACAAGTCAGGACATCCGATATCAAAGAAGGTGTGTTTCTGAGTTGTCTTGGTAAAACATCTCCAAACTTGTCAGCCTCTGATTGGCTGTGCAAATAATAACAGCTAAACCTTAAAACTAGATCACTCTGAGAGATTCAACAGTTCTAGAATCGCTCAGACCGGCCACCTGTAGTAAACTTCTTTAACCATCAAAGGTTTTGACACATCGTCAAAACCTTTTTGCACCTTCCTGCATAAACAAAGGTAAGATTATTAGACTCCTTAAGAGTCCGCCAGACGCACGGTTCCATCCAGCCGTTGTGACCCGAGACATCTCTGGACTGAAGAGTTGGTACCACGGTATTCTACAACCCTCCGGTGCCAACGGTCAGCCGACTCCTGTGACTTTCGGATCCACTAAGAGGGTCTCTCCAAAACAGATGAAGTAGACATGACAGATTGCGTCTGAATGTTCTTCTGATGATAACAACTTCATAGTTTATAGCAAACCTAATTCTTGTCACCAGAACTCAGCTTATTTTGATAAGGAAGCTGTGACTGACACCACACACACACACACATAGGTTCCTTCCTCACGTTTAGCTACATCCACCCACAGTAAATGCTTAATTAATTAGTCATGTTTTAAGTTGTTTGTAAAATAAATTCTTACTTTTATAAACCTGACTCTTTCTTGAAGTAACTCAAAGTGTGGTTGATCACTGAAAAAGCAAAGAACCTAGATCTTCTGAACTAAATCCTAGAATCTTCTGATTAATTACAGTAAAGAACCTAGCAGGTTAATATTTTATAATTATACAGAGCATTGCATCTTCCTGGTTATAACAAATAAAATCATCAAATTTGCCTCCGCTACACCCTGTACCAAAATCCCACTCGCTAACAGACCGTTTTCATTGTGTTTGTATTCCCACAGTTCTCTGTTCGAGAATACCACAAATAGAAACCAGAGATCGTGTGCATGTCTCTTGTGAAACTATGTTTATGAAAACCAAACACAGCCACAGAGAGGGGGTGGGGGTGTTGTGTGATTTTAGTTTGGTATATCGAGACAGCTCAGGGGCCAGAGATGCAGGAATGGGCTCAGATGAACGCTGACCCGTCATGAGTGATCCGCGGAGTTTGATTTCAGTCCATTTAAAAGTGTTTTTATCATCTGAAGACTAACTGACCAGGTGGAAGCCCTCTGGGAGTACAAGGTCCTCAATCTCCTCCAAAGTCCAACAGCTTCATAATGAGAGTAAGGCGGGTTTAATTAGTTTTATAATGAGCCTGCTTGTTGAAGGTGACACACCGAGGTACACACCAGATGCCTGCACACGCAGGCTTGCAAACAAAAATAAATTAAACTGAAGACTTGTTTGCACTTTCTTGAATTCTTTGTGCATAATCCTGCAAAATAATTTAGAGTGTAGTTATTGGAAGCATAATGGCCATTGTCACCATGTTGGAAGGAAGTTTAGATTGAAACAGATTTCATTCTCATTCGCCTGGGGGGATGTCAGTTTATCTGTTTACTATCCACACCTGCAAACTTGGAAGGTGTGAAATGGATGACTAGTATTAATCTGCTTTAGTGCTGCAGAAATGTTGAAACATGAAATTATCCCATCACGTCTTTGTACTACAGCCTCCTCAAATCTTCCGGTGCCCAGATCAGTAAACAAGTAAGGCTGTAGCATATTGGTGGCCATTTCTTAACAAAAAGTAAGTATTTATGTTGCCAATATTAAGATTTAACAGCGTTAAATGCTGTCTGTTGTTGTCAAATGCCGACCTCAACTCCCCAAAAATAAATAAATAAAAACCATGATGATCCTTGGGAAACATCTTTGAAGGCTGAAAAAAGGCAAATCTAAGAAAGTCCTCGACTGAAAACTGTGTTTTTACTGGTGGTGTTGTTTGATTTGGCAAACTTTTAGCTCAGAACTGTAGCAGTGCTCCTGTAGGGTCTGACGATGTATTTATCTACTTATCAACTTACTTTGCATGACTCGTCTTTGTCATCTAGAATCTTCTTGTGCCGATTCATATCCGGCAACAGCCGTGAAACTAACGGAAAAGCAATGAGACGGTAATTCTGTTTAGAAAAATGGACTGCAGTACCCACATTTGACCACAGCATGTCATTCTTACTCCATTTTTACATATCGCACCTTTTAGGTAAACAGCTGTTTACATACATAGATCTGATCAATATTAAAACATGCCTGCAGTTAAAACCCAGTGGAACTGAGGGAGGAAATAAAGACGACTTGAATTTTTCAGCTTCTTTGAAGATGTTTTACCTCTTACCTGAGAAACTGAGGATTACCAAGCTTTCAGTCTGTGGTGAGATCTTCATTAATGCAAGCAAAGTCTGCAAATCAAACCCAAATCCTCCCTTCACTGATCTTTCATGTCCAAAATACGAACAACCCTGTCGTCTTATTCTTAAGATGGAAGTGGATAGCAGAATCTTGGCCTGAAGGCTTTGCTGTAGTGTCCATGCAATGTGTTTTTTACTCTGCTT